CCTTCGCCACGCTTTTTTCAGCGGAGAATACAACAAGCGGCGTCGTAGTCACTCGGTAAAGTTTCGCCTGCGAGTCCTTTACACTCCTGCATGTAGTAATGCCAAACCTACCGGTCTGGGCCTTTTCACGGTGGAGTGTCGCCAACTGTCATCAGCGATGAACTTTCCTCGGACACCATCTAGCGTCAACCGGCTGAAACCGAGTCAAAGGACGGCAAGGTGGCCTCAAAGCAGCGTGTAATAAATACGTCGTCCCGATGAGACGACGAATAGCGTCGATGGGTTTTTGCGGCTCAGCACATTCTAATGAGCGGGGTCGTATCCGTGAGAGCGCTTGGAAGGATGGCGAGTGCGTATGGAGCGTGCGTTCGGGGCGTGGTTGCAGTGGTTGTGCGTGTGTATATTTGCGTTGGGTTTGTTATTTTGAGTGCGGTTTCATTGTTCAGCCTTCCCATATACTCTAGTCGGTTAGGATAGCTGGCTCTCACCCAGCAGACCCGGGTTCGAGTCCCGGTGTGGGAACATCTTTTGCTTTTCTTTCTTTCTGCTTCTTCTATTTCGTCTACCTTGCACGCTTTCTCAGCGAGATTACAACAAGCGCGTCGTAGTCACTCGGTATGTTTCGCCTGCGAGTCCTTACACTCCTGCATGTAGTAATGCCAAACCTACCGTCTGGGCCTTTTCACGGTGGAGTGTCGCCACTGTCATCAGCGATGACCTTTCCTCGGACGCCCACTAGCGTCAACTGGCTGAACCGAGTCAAAGGACGGCAAGGTGGCCTCGAGCAGCGGGTTAATACAAAATGTCGTCCCCGACAAGACGACGGAAAAACGGCCGAAGAGTTTTTGCTGGCTCACCAAAAGGCGATGAGCGGGAGGCGTATCCCTGAGAGCCGCTTTGGAAAGATGGTGAGACGCGTATGAAAGCAAGCGATTCGAGCGAGGGGTGCCGGGGGTTGCAGGGGAGTGGGCCGAGGGGTAATATGCGTTGGGGTTGTGTAATTTTTGAGTGCGGGTTTCTTATGTTCTAGCCTTCCCCGTTTAAGTCTAAGGCCGGTTAGAATTAGGTGGGTCTGTCCCACAACGAAAACCGAGGGTTTCGAAAGCCCCCGGTGTGGGAACATCTTTTTCTTTTTTTTCAATCTGCTTCTTCTATTTCGTCTACCTCGCACGCTTTCTCAGCGAGATTACAACAGGCGCGTCGTAGTCACTCGGTAAGTTTCGCCTGCGAGTCCTTACACTCCTGCATGTAGTAATGCCAAACCTACCGTCTGGGCCTTTTCACGGTGGAGTGTCGCCACTGTCATCAGCGATGACCTTTCCTCGGACACCATCTAGCGTCAACCGGCTGAACCGAGTCAAAGGACGGCAAGGTGGCCTCAAGCAGCGTGTAATAAATACGTCGTCCCGATGAGACGTTGAATAGCGTCGATGAGTTTATGCGGCTCGGCAAAGGCAATGAGCGGAGTCGTATCCGTGAGAGCGCTTGGAAGGATGGCGAGTGCGTATGAAGCGTGCGTTTGGGGCGTGGTTGCAGTTGTTGCAGTGGTTGCAGTGGTTGTGCGTGTGTGTATTTGCGTTGGGTTTGTTATTTTGAGTGCGGTTTCATTGTTCAGCCTTTCCATATAGTCTAGGCGGTTAGGATAGCTGGCTCTCACCCAGCAGACCCGGGTTCGAGTCCCGGTGTGGGAACATCTTTTGCTTTTCTTCCTTTCTGCTTCTTCTATTTCGTCTACCTCGCACGCTTTCTCAGCGAGATTACAACAGGCGCGTCGTAGTCACTCGGTAAGTTTTGCCTGCGAGTCCTTACACTCCTGCATGTAGTAATGCCAAACCTACCGTCTGGGCCTTTTCACGGTGGAGTGTCGCCACTGTCATCAGCGATGACCTTTCCTCGGACACCCACTAGCGTCAACCGGCTGAACCGAGTCAAAGGACGGCAAGGTGGCCTCGAGCAGCGTGTAATAAATATGTTGTCCCGATGAGACGATGAATAGCGTCGATGCGTTTATGCGGCTCAGCAAAGGCAATGAGCGGAGTCGTATCCGTGAGAGCGCTTGGAAGGATGGCGAGTGCGTTTGAAGCGTGCGTTTGGGGCATGGTTGCAGTGGTTGCAGTGGTTGTGCGTGTGTGTATTTGCGTTGGGTTTGTTATTTTGAGTGCGGTTTCATTGTTCAGTTCCCATATAGTCTAGGCGGTTAGGATAGCTGGCTCTCACCCAGCAGACACGGGTTCGAGTCCCGGTGTGGGAACATCTTTTGCTTTTCTTCCTTTCTGCTTCTTCTATTTCGTCTACCTCGCACGCATTCTCAGCGAGATTACAACAGGCGCGTCGTAGTCACTCGGTAAGTTTTGCCTGCGAGTCCTTACACTCCTGCATGTAGTAATGCCAAACCTACCGTCTGGGCCTTTTCACGGTGGAGTGTCGCCACTGTCATCAGCGATGAACTTTCCTCGGACACCCCACTAGCGTCAACCGGCTGAACCGAGTCAAAGGACGGCAAGGTGGCCTCGAGCAGCGTGTAATAAATATGTCGTCCCGATGAGACGATGAATAGCGTCGATGCGTTTATGCGGCTCAGCAAAGGCAATGAGCGGAGTCGTATCCGTGAGAGCGCATGAAGCGTGCGTTTGGGGCGTGGATGCAGTGGTTGCAGTGGTTTAGCGTGTGTGTATTTGCGTTGGGCTTGTTATTTTGAGTGCGGGTTCATTGATCAGCCTTCCCATATAGTCTAGGCGGTTAGGATAGCTGGCTCTCACCCAGCAGACCCGGGTTCGAGTCCCGGTGTGGGAACATCGTTCTCTTTTTTTTCAATCTGCTTCTTCTATCTCGTCTACCTCGCACGCTTTCTCAGCGAGATTCCAACAAGCGCGTCGTAGTCACTCGGTAAAGTTTCGCCTGCGAGTCCTTACACTCCTGCATGTAGTAATGCCAAACCCGCCGTCTGGGCCTTTTCACGGTGGAGTGTCGCCACTGTCATCAGCGATGAACTTTCCTCGGACACCATCTAGCGTCAACCGGCTGAACCGAGTCAAAGGACGGCAAGGTGGCCTCAAGCAGCGTGTAATAAATACGTCGTCCCGATGAGACGTTGAATAGCGTCGATGAGTTTATGCGGCTCGGCAAAGGCAATGAGCGGAGTCGTATCCGTGAGAGCGCTTGGAAGGATGGCGAGTGCGTATGAAGCGTGCGTTTGGGGCGTGGCTGCAGTGGTTGCAGTGGTTGTGCGTGTGTGTATTTGCGTTGGGTTTGTTATTTTGAGTGCGGTTTCATTGTTCAGCCTTCCCATATAGTCTAGGCGGTTAGGATAGCTGGCTCTCACCCAGCAGACCCGGGTTCGAGTCCCGGTGTGGGAACATCTTTTGCTTTTCTTCCTTTCTGCTTCTTCTATTTCGTCTACCTCGCACGCTTTCTCAGCGAGATTACAACAAGCGCGTCGTAGTCACTCGGTAAGTTTCGCCTGCGAGTCCTTACACTCCTGCATGTAGTAATGCCAAACCTACCGTCTGGGCCTTTTCACGGTGGAGTGTCGCCACTGTCATCAGCGATGACCTTTCCTCGGACGCCCACTAGCGTCAACTGGCTGAACCGAGCCAAAGGACGGCAAGGTGGCCTCGAGCAGCGTGTAATAAATATGTCGTCCCGACGAGACGACGAATAGCGTCGATGGGTTTTTGCGGCTCAGCAAAGGCAATGAGCGGGGTCGTATCCGTGAGAGCGCTTGGAAGGATGGCGAGTGCGTATGAAGCGTGCGCTTGGGGCGTGGTTGCAGTGGTTGCAGTGGTTGCAGTGGTTGTGCGTGTGTGTATTTGCGTTGTGTTTGTTATTTTGAGAGCGTTGTCATTGTTCAGACTTCCCATATAGTCAAGCTGGCTAGAAAAGCTGGCTCTCACCCGAGCATACCCGGGTTCGAGTCCAGAGGGTGGGAACATCTCTTTGCTTTTCGATCTTTCTGCGTCTTCGATTTCCGACTACCTTCGCACGCTTTCACACCGAGATTACCATCATGCGCGCCGTATTACCCTCGGTAAGTTTCGACTGCGGCTCCTTGCCACTCCTGACATGTAGTAATGCCAAACCTTCGTGGGGGCCTTTTCCACGGATGGAGTGTCGCCACTGTCATCAGCGATGAACCTTTACCTCGGACACCATCGTAGCGTCAACCAGGCTGAACCCGAGTCAAGGACGGCAAAGGTGTCCTCGAGCAGCCGTGTAATAAATATGTCGTCCCGACGAGACGATGAAATAGCGTCGATGAGTTTATGCGGCTTAGCAAAGGCAATGAGCGGAGTCGTATCCGTGAGAGCGCATGAAGCGTGCGTTTGGGGCGTGGTTGCAGTGGTTGCAGTGGTTGTGCGTGTGTGTATTTGCGTTGGGTTTGTTATTTTGAGTGCGGTTTCATTGTTCAGCCTTCCCATATAGTCTAGGCGGTTAGGATAGCTGGCTCTCACCCAGCAGACCCGGGTTCGAGTCCCGGTGTGGGAACATCTTTTGCTTTTCGTCCTTTCTGCTTCTTCTATTTCGTCTACCTTGCACGCTTTCTCAGCGAGATTACAACAAGCGCGTCGTAGTCACTCGGTAAGTTTCGCCTGCGAGTCCTTACACTCCTGCATGTAGTAATGCCAAACCTACCGTCTGGGCCTTTTCACGGTGGAGTGTCGCCACTGTCATCAGCGATGAACTTTCCTCGGACACCATCTAGCGTCAACCGGCTGAACCGAGTCAAAGGACGGCAAGGTGGCCTCAAGCAGCGTGTAATAAATATGTCGTCCCGACGAGACGACGAATAGCGTCGATGGGTTTTTGCGGCTCGGCAAAGGCAATGAGCGGGGTCGTATCCGTGAGAGCGCTTGGAAGGATGGCGAGTGCGTATGAAGCGTGCGCTTGGGGCGTGGTTGCAGTGGTTGCAGTGGTTGTGCGTGTGTGTATTTGCGTTGGGTTTGTTATTTTGAGTGCGGTTTCATTATTCAGCCTTCCCATATAGTCTAGGCGGTTAGGATAGCTGGCTCTCACCCAGCAGACCCGGGTTCGAGTCCCGGTGTGGGAACATCTTTTGCTTTTCTTTCTTTCTGCTTCTTCTATTTCGTCTACCTTGCACGCTTTCACAGCGAGATTACAACAAGCGCGTCGTAGTCACTCGGTAAGTTTCGCCTGCGAGTCCTTACACTCCTGCATGTAGTAATGCCAAACCTACCGTCTGGGCCTTTTCACGGTGGAGGGTCGCCACTGTCATCAGCGATGACCTTTCCTCGGACGCCCACTAGCGTCAACTGGCTGAACCGAGTCAAAGGACGGCAAGGTGGCCTCGAGCCGCGTGTAATAAATATGTCGTCCCGACGAGACGACGAATAGCGTCGATGAGTTTTTGCGGCTCAGCAAAGGCAATGAGCGGGGTCGTATCCGTGAGAGCGCTTGGAAGGATGGCGAGTGCGTATGAAGCGTGCGTTTGGGGCGTGGTTGCAGTGGTTGCAGTGGTTGTGCGTGTGTGTATTTGCGTTGGGTTTGTTATTTTGAGTGCGGTTTCATTATTCAGCCTTCCCATATAGTCTAGGCGGTTAGGATAGCTGGCTCTCACCCAGCAGACCCGGGTTCGAGTCCCGGTGTGGGAACATCTTTTGCTTTTCTTCCTTTCTGCTTCTTCTATTTCGTCTACCTCGCACGCTTTCTCAGCGAGATTACAACAAGCGCGTCGTAGTCACTCGGTAAGTTTCGCCTGCGAGTCCTTACACTCCTGCATGTAGTAATGCCAAACCTACCGTCTGGGCCTTTTCACGGTGGAGTGTCGCCACTGTCATCAGCGATGAACTTTCCTCGGACACCATCTAGCGTCAACCGGCTGAACCGAGTCAAAGTACGGCAAGGTGGCCTCAAGGAGCGTGTAATATATATGTCGTCACGATGAGACGATGAATAGCGTCGATGAGTTTATGCGGCTCGGCAAAGACATTGAGAGGAGTGATATCCGTGAGAGCGTTTCAAAGGATGGCAAGTGCGCATGAAGTGTGCGATTGGTTGCATGGGTGCAGCTAGTTGCAGGGATTCCGCTTGTGTGACGGAGCGTTGTCTCCGTTATCTTAGAGTGAGATTGCCCTGTTTAATTCCCCTCATTCTCTCGGGCAATTAGGAAAGGCGGAACATATCTTAGAAGAACCGCGAGACCAGCCCCAGCCGTGGGAACATCTTTTGCTTTTCTTCCTTTCTGCTTCTTCTATTTCGTCTACCTCGCACGCTTTCTCAGCGAGATTACAACAAGCGCGTCGTAGTCACTCGGTAAGTTTCGCCTGCGAGTCCTTACACTCCTGCATGTAGTAATGCCAAACCTACCGTCTGGGTCTTTTCACGGTGGAGTGTCGCCACTGTCATCAGCGATGACCTTTCCTCGGACGCCCACTAGCGTCAACTGGCTGAACCGAGTCAAAGGACGGCAAGGTGGCCTCGAGCAGCGTGTAATAAATATGTCGTCCCGACGAGACGATGAATAGCGTCGATGAGTTTATGCGGCTCAGCAAAGGCAATGAGCGGAGTCGTATCCGTGAGAGCGCTTGGAAGGATGGCGAGTGCGTATGAAGCGTGCGCTTGGGGTGTGGTTGCAGTGGGTGTGCGTGTGTGTATTTGCGTTGGGTTTGTTATTTTGAGTGCGGTTTCATTGTTCAGCCTTCCCATATAGTCTAGGCGGTTAGGATAGCTGGCTCTCACCCAGCAGACCCGGGTTCGAGTCCCGGTGTGGGAACATCTTTTGCTTTTCTTCCTTTCTGCTTCTTCTATTTCGTCTACCTCGCACGCTTTCTCAGCGAGATTACAACAGGCGCGTCGTAGTCACTCGGTAAGTTTCGCCTGCGAGTCCTTACACTCCTGCATGTAGTAATGCCAAACCTACCGTCTGGGCCTTTTCACGGTGGAGTGTCGCCACTGTCATCAGCGATGACCTTTCCTCGGACGCCCACTAGCGTCAACCGGCTGAACCGAGTCAAAGGACGGCAAGGTGGCCTCGAGCAGCGTGTAATAAATATGTCGTCCCGATGAGACGATGAATAGCGTCGATGCGTTTATGCGGCTCAGCAAAGGCAATGAGCGGAGTCGTATCCGTGAGAGCGCTTGGAAGGATGGCGAGTGCGTTTGAAGCGTGCGTTTGGGGCATGGTTGCAGTGGTTGCAGTGGTTGTGCGTGTGTGTATTTGCGTTGAGTTTGTTATCTTGAGTGCGGTTTCATTGTTCAGCCTTCCCATATAGTCTAGGCGGTTAGGATAGCTGGCTCTCACCCAGCAGACGCGGCTTCGAGTCCCGGTGTGGGAACATCTTCTGCTTTTCTTTCTCTCTGCTTCTTCTATTTCGTCTACCTCGCACGCTGTCTCAGCGAGATTACAACAAGCGCGTCTCGGTAAGTTTCGCCTGCGAGTCCTTACACTCCTGCATGTAGTAATGCCAAACCTACCGTCTGGGCCTTTTCACGGTGGAGTGTCGCCACTGTCATCAGCGATGAACTTTCCTCGGACACCATCTAGCGTCAACCGGCTGAACCGAGTCAAAGGACGGCAAGGTGGCCTCAAGCAGCGTGTAATAAATACGTCGTCCCGATGAGACGTTGAATAGCGTCGATGAGTTTATGCGGCTCGGCAAAGGCAATGAGCGGGGTCGTATCCGTGAGAGCGCTTGGAAGGATGGCGAGTGCGTATGAAGCGTGCGCTTGGGGCGTGGTTGCAGTGGTTGCAGTGGTTGCAGTGGTTGTGCGTGTGTGTATTTGCGTTGGGTTTGTTATTTTGAGTGCGTTTCATTGTTCAGCCTTCCCATATAGTCTAGGCGGTTAGGATAGCTGGCTCTCACCCAGCAGACCCGGGTTCGAGTCCCGGTGTGGGAACATCTTTTGCTTTTCTTTCTTTCTGCTTCTTCTATTTCGTCTACCTTGCACGCTTTCTCAGCGAGATTCCAACAAGCGCGTCATAGTCAGTCGGTAAGTTTCGCCTGCGAGTCCTTACACTCCTGCATGTAGTAATGCCAAACCTACCGTCTGGGCCTTTTCACGGTGGAGGGTCGCCACTGTCATCACCGATGACCTTTCCTCGGACGCCCCCTAGCGTCAACTGGCTGAACCGAGTCAAAGGACGGCAAGGTGGCCTCGAGCCGCGTGTAATAAATATGTCGTCCCGACGAGACGACGAATAGCGTCGATGAGTTTTTGCGGCTCAGCAAAGGCAATGAGCGGGGTCGTATCCGTGAGAGCGCTTGGAAGGATGGCGAGTGCGTATGAAGCGTGCGTTTGGGGCGTGGTTGCAGTGGTTGCAGTGGTTGTGCGTGTGTGTATTTGCGTTGGGTTTGTTATTTTGTGCGCGATTCATTGTTCAGCCTTCCCATATAGTCTAGGCGGTTAGGATAGCTGGCTCTCACCCAGCAGACCCGGGTTCGAGTCTCGGTGTGGGAACATCATTTTGCTTTTTTCTTTCTTTCTGCTTCTTCTATTTCGTCTACCTCGCAACGCTTCCTCAGCGAGATTACAGCAAGCGCATCGTAGTCACCTCGGTAATCTTCGGCTGCGAGTCCCTTACACTCCTGCATGTAGTAATCACAAACCTACCGTCTGCGCCTTTTCACGGGTGGAGTGTCGCCACTGTCATCAGCGATGAACTTGCGTCGGACACCATCTAGCGTCACCCGGCTGACACGAGTCAAAGGACAGCAAAGTGGCCTCAAGCAGCGCGTAATAAATATGTCGTACCGATGAGACGTTGAATAGCGTCGATGAGTTTATGCGGCTCGGCAAAGGCAATGAGCGGAGTCGTATCCGTGAGAGCGCTGGGAAGGATGGCGAGTGCGTATGAAGCGTGCGTTTGGGGCGTGGTTGCAGCTGTTGCAGTGGTTGCAGTGGTTGTGCGTGTGTGTATTTGCGTTGGGTTTGTTATTTTGAGTGCGGTTTCATCGTTCAGCCTTCCCATATA